ATAACTTGACATTAATTTAAAAAGGTCTCGCCAATACACACGAAGGCCTACATATTATTATATGTAAGCAAAGAAATTTTTGGACAGCGTGTCTGGTTACAAAATAGACACGACTTTTCTATTTGTTTTAGAAACTATACAAGTCAAATCTGATTGGTTGTTTTTGAACAATGGCGTATTTAAGGAGGGGGGCACGACCCCTGGGGTCATAAATGAAAAATACATATTACTTTCTCTTCCAAAGTAGCTTTAAATGTATTCTCCGGCTTCCTACATTAGAAAATTTTCCGTTGGGGCTGTCTGAACAGAAGACAGGAGATATTGAAGTGTGCAATGAAGGAAATTTTGACGGGAAAATCTAAATTTCATTGCATAATTTATGTCAGCATTTGTTGATTTTCTAGGTTAAATTTGAATGTCGTCTATCAGTATGCCAGGCTTTACATCCTCCAGATCGGTGCTATGGCTTGTGCCTTCTAAAGCTCAAAAAAAAAGTCACAGTTCCTGTACGATTTATCGTTAAGGGAGATAACTCAATTTAAAATTGATTAAAGACTGCAGTTATGTTATGTTATGTGTGTGTTCACTGTTATGTACATTGTGTTAAGTTACAAGGATCAGTTACTCGAGGCATGGGCCATGGAATTATATTCAATTTTGTGGGGAATTTGAAAGGAGCTACTGAGATTTTGTGTATACAATTATAGAAGACAAGTAAATCCAAAAATGATCGTAGAGTTTCTACTTGAGGTTCAAAGGGCGGGCATTCGCGCAGAGGTTTCGCATTTGACTGCTTAAGAATATTCACCCACTTACAAAATAAACAAACAATCACAAATACTCATGCACGTGCAATATTCAAGGTCATTTGAGATCAAATCACTTGACAAAACAAACATACACAAAAAATCTTTCAAGATGTCCGGACATGAATTGGAATAATATATACCTTTTCAAGGTAAATAGACTATAATTATCATTATTTTATTATTTTGTCATGCATTGGTATCTGTACTTGTTTAGGGGTGGACATTGTACTCATTTCATCTCAATAAAAGTTGATTTGGTTGACGTGTGAATAACAATTTGAATAAGTACGTCTTCATATCATTGCCCTCCTTGCGATAACATAAAATGGCTAATATCAGTATGGAATATACTTGCGAACTTGTATGATATCGTTTCACGATTTACACACAATTCGCGCATTTAAAACTTATATTAGGTTATATATTGATAGTCTGTCCAGAATGTAGGCCATTTTACATGATATTTCCCGGAGAGGTTTGTTTATTTCAAATGTAAAATCTCCACACAATATATGTACCCGAAGACATTAACAAACAAACCATAATTCCCTACAAAAATTCCCTGTAATATCGTCAAACATTACACTGAAAATTTTGAAGAAAAAAACATACATGTATTTCTTAATAATAATTAATTAATTAATTAAATCGGTTGAAACATCCATCAACCCCAAAACAATCCATGTGTGGAGTAAATGATATACCCAAGGAGAAAGGGTGTAAACACACATGAATGTCGGTCATTTTACAGCAAGTTAAAAAGTTTTTTGAATTTTTTCCATATTGTCAAGAAAATTGGAATATCAGTACGATTTTGAGGCTGTCTTCCAATTCTCATAAAAATAATGGGAAAAATTAAAAAGACTTTTTACTTTGCTCAAACAATAACATATAATGAACGAACTGATCAAGTTCGTTTGTATGTGGAATTCTGCCTATTCATTGAAGTGAATTTGATTAAAACAGATCTGATAATATTAGAATGCCTTTGAGTTTATAAATATGTTAACATACGCACACATTATCATTTTGAAATTTGTTTATATAGAAGACAATTTTCGGTCAAAATGTGGACATATATTTCTGTTGAAATTTTTAAGAGGGAAGTGTGATTCTTACGAAAAATTATATATTTATCAACGCAAAGTCATTCTATCAGATTATCAATACTGTTTCGAAGCGTACAATCAAATCTACCTTACTAAAATTGACAAAATTCGATATACCAACGAACGAACTTTCTCAGACAATAGAAGGGAAGTGTTTATTTCAAATGTAAAATTCTCAAACCCCAAAAATTGCACAATTTTCTTCAAAAGTTTCCTGTAATATCGTCCAACATTACAGACTGAAAATTCTAAAAAAGGTTATTTCTATCCACCCGAAGACAGTCGAAAAACACAGTTTCCTCCAAGACATTAAACATAAAAATGTACCACAATGCACACTGAAAAGTTTGATAAAAAAAAACATATTTCTTAATAATAATTTTCTTCATCGGTTTAAATGTTCTTCCAACCACAGACAATCCACGTGTGAGAAATGTGTACCCTAGGGTAAGAATTGTTGTTTCCATAGACTTTGCACTTGGGACAAAACACATTTGCTCGCCCTTTCATATGTTAATGAATTTATATGTAATAATATATCAAGGAAAGGGAAGAATAAATAAGATATAAACAGGGTTTCAATAGCCCCTTAAACAAATAGGACTTCAATCGCCTGCTATGTTATGTTTCCTAAACCCAAAGTTATCCCGATAGATATATTCCAATATTATTGTAAAAAAATTTTAATTACTGCAAATTTCATCCAATTAGATGATAACTAGAAGAAAACAAATAGGTTTTTATTCGATTTACCCTGAAAATCCAATATTTTAGGCAATCACAGAAAAAATGTGGACAGAGGTTCACTCATGTTACGGTAATCCCGATTGCATCATTCGAGTTTTCTCGGATATTTTGGCAAGGACCTCTGTCTTGAATACACGGGCGAGCTTTTTAATCTAATTGCGAAAAATATCACTAATCCCGATTACAAAACTCGGGAGTTCTCGGACATTTTTGCACAGACCTCTGTCTTGAATACATGGTCGAGTTTTCCAATCTGTTTGCGGAAAAAAATTAGTGACCCCGATTACACTACTCGTGATTTCTTGGGAAGTTTTGTATTGACGAGAGAGCCTCTGTGTTGAATTAAGGGACGAGCTCATTATCACTATTCGTGGAAAACAACAGAAAATCCCGATTACATAAAGACTTCAGAACACAATCATTTTGACGTGCTTAAAAAGAGTTCAGTGCCTTTAATTACTAATTCACCTTGTTCCGTTCAAACAGTCTTTTGCGCTCTGTCTTGTGCAGTTTCTGCAAGTCTTTCAGAACTTTCAGAACTGTAAAATCAAATTTCCACATACCGCTTTTAAATAGGTTAAAGTAGGACGTAAAACTTCTTCAATTAAATTTTTTAAGTTTTTAATAGGTTACAATACATTCCCATTTTATTTGGTCGTGAGCACTAAAACAAGCCTTTTCTACCTTCTAGAAATATCCGATTTTAATTTAACTCTGAACATATACTTTAACTACTTTAAACTATATCGAATTTTAATGGAACTATATAAAAGAAAAGATTTCATGTACAGGCCGTATTCGTCAATCATCTGTTATATAAAAACACAATTTCTCATTAGAGAGACCAAACACAAACAGTAGCGACTCCGATCTCCTAGAACGTGGGGTAAAAGCAGGAGGGGGGTTGGGGGCTGACTCTTGGGATTGAAATTCCAAGCCGGGGGATCTAAGGGGTAAATTCCACACCCCTAGAAAAAAAAAGACTGAGGGCGATTGGCGAATGTCACGAAATAACACATTTGTTAGAAACGAAGTGGGTGTGCAATAGGGGAAACAAACTTTTTTTGTGGATGGTCGGTTGCTCTATCCACCCCGCTTCCGACTTAAATACTCATGAATCATCAAAACTACAACTACTCAGGCGCATTAATTGATATACATAATATGTTATACACGTATTACAATCCATTTATAGAAATAGAAATGTTAGAACAGAACCTTTAAAAAACACGCGATCTTCAGACAACTGACCTATTTTCGACGTGCGTTCCTATATAAGATGGACAAATAGAATTCTCATGCCTGCACTTCGAAACGAGTCCTTTCCTTTTATATGTAGCTTCGATTGCAACCACGAGTGTATTTTGGGTTGTGATTAAAAAGATTTGATCTAAATTGTCGGTTTAAAGGTTTGATTATAGGCCGAGAACTCTAAGGTTCGTTGAATCCTACTGTTAGACATAAAAATATAATTAACAGTATATAGTTGCGATAATTCTGAATAGTTTAGGGCTAAATTCAGTTTGGTAAGCACCCTAAAAATTATGAAATTCGGGTCAACATAAAAAATTAATTGAATTTATATATCACAATGTCACAAATTTGGAGTAAAAAAAAAATGATATAATTTTGTTTAATTTTAAGGTGCTGCAAATTTAAGGCGATCACCATAAAGTTTGAAGAAAATCAGTTTTTGATAAGTTTTACGTGGTTAAACTATGATTTTAGGCAATTACAGTAAAAATGTGGATAGAGGTTCAGTCGGTTTACGGTAATCCCGATTACATCATTCGGGTTTTCTTGGCAATTTTTGGGAAAACCTCTGTCTTGAATTGACGAGTCTGCCTATCCAATAACGGAAAATATCAGTAATCCCGATTGAAATTACTCGGGATTTCTCGGTAATTTTCGGAAGGACCTCTCTCTTGAATATATGATCGAGCTTTCCAATCCGTTTGCGGAAAATATCAATAGTCCCGATTACAACATTCGGGATTTCTTGGAAAGAATTGTATTGCTGCTCAGAACTCTGTCTTGAATTAAGTGATGAACTCATAATTACTGTTCGCGGAAAATACCAGAAAATCCCGATTACATGAAGGCTCCAGAACACAACTAAATAAATCATTTTGACCTTCTTAAATAGAGTTTCGTGCCTTTAATGACAATTCCATGTATCTCACTTTGTTCGAATCACAAAGGTGTTGTATTCAGCCCTTTGCACCCTATCTAGTGCAATTACTGCAAGTCTTTCGGAATTTGCCAGACGTACACTGTGAAGTGCCCTTTCTAACGGAAATAAACCTTGTCATTTTTAGAACTGTAAGCGTCCAACATGTCGACAAAAAGACGTGAACTATTGAGGATTTGTGCAGTTAATAAAAAATCTGAGGTACTCGGAATACAGGTTTTAGCGCTGTAGTGATCATAAAGAATTATAGAATCAGAAAAGTGTTACGTTTATCGTGCAAAGTCTTGATATTTTAATTTAAATTTCACATAAGCTAGTAAAAACAATCTGTAATCAAATTACCCCTCGATCCAACCTTTACCAACTGACATAGGACATCTCCTCTAATTCAAATTTGGCTTTATTGACACCATAATTGCAAAGAGTATGACCAAAATAATTTAGTTTTTATCATAATGATAGGTCTTTTTCAACTGAACAGTAGCCCCCACCCGAAGGTTTCATCTCGACCTATGCCGGTTAGTGAGTAAGTACGTGTCTGGATGTAACTTTGCATTCACGGAACTGTAGTATTTTCATCTCGTTTTCTATTACGTTGATTTATCATTCGATGGATTGACCTATCTTTTTATTCTTATAAAAACAGTACTACAAAGTTGTTAGTTGTGTTACTGTATAGATAGTCCGAGATGTCATAATTATATCAAAGGTTCCTACTCGAAACTGTTCAAATGAAACGACTTTAGCTTATTCGCTTATTATTATTATATTATTATAACAGTATATAGTTGTGATAATTCTGAATAGTTTAGGGCTAAATTTTAAATATTATGAAATTCGGATAATGAGCGACACACAATATTAGTCTTGATTACGGATTACATTGTTATTAAAATCATACCCCTTTGACCACGTGTTGATTCTTTTGATCAACGCTGCAAGTGCCAGATGAAGAAAGTGATGTGAATTTCATTTTGTTACAGAACGAATTCTGTGTATTTAACGTTAGAAAAGCAGTTTTAATAACGGTGAGATATTGAAAACATCTCTGAACCTTTTTGAGACTTTTGTCTAATAATATTTCTCTTGAATTCATTCACTATTATAGCAAATTCAGTAACATTTTCAATTTCATAAATGTATAGTCCGAAATATTCTGAACTTCTTCATGCATAGTCCTACTTTTCCCAATTGTTGTCATTTCAGTTTCATTCATTCAGTCACTCATACAGTCATTCATTTTATCATCCACTCATTCTAACTGTTATTTTACTCCATTCATTCATTCATTTATTTATTCAATCGGATTTTTGTACCTAAATAAAGTGCCACCAAGTGAAGTAAGCCATTGTCAATGCGAGTCGAGACTTTGCGCTGCATCTTCACAACGTCAAGCTCTTAATAATTGTTTTAAAGATTGGTGCTGTGAGCCCTCTTTGATAATTCTGTTCCCCTACACTTTTTTATAGGACAGTAGGCCACATCATTGTGAACTTTTCTTTTGGAAGAAACCCACCTAAATAGAATGATAGAAGCTCTTTTTAATTCATTATCATGAAGTTCAACTTCAGTGATGTTGTTGGTGATGAAGGTGTAATTGTGTGGTTTTGAAAGAAAAGTCAGGAAAGTCAGGAAAAACTACTTACCAATAGGCAAGTTATGTTATGTTTTTGACATTAAACTATGTTCCTTGTCAGTGACTTTAGAAAGAGCGTCTAGTTGATCGGATGAATCCCGTATGATGCAGGATTTGTGCAGTCCCGTTCCCTATTTTAAGGATATAAATCGAAAAATCGATGGCACTGTCATGGCAAAAACACTTCTGTTGCGAATTGCAGTATTACTATAAAATTTATTTTATTATATTTCATTTTTGTGGTGATATGGAGTGGATTTTTGAAACTGTATGTTTTAAAGAAATTAAGTTAACCGAATGTCACATTTTACAGAAGGTAAGCCAACTACACATATCTATACTTTTGAAGTTCTTCCAAAAGCATTTGTCTTTGAGTGCAGTATTACCATTACAATATATTTTATTTCATTTCATTTTTGCGGTGATATGTAATGGATATTTGAAACTATATGTTTTAAAGAAATTAAGTCTACTGAATGTCGCAGTTTTATAGAAGGTAAGCCAACTACAAACATATCTAGACTTTCGAAGTACTTCCAAAAGAATTTGTCTTTGAATGTTTTTTTTTACCACAGTCCCTATCTAATGACTTAAACCAATCATAGCATGCCCCATGGAACCCGTTTTTGATATATATGACAAAACATTGATGTTGCGAAGTGCAGTATGACCATTAAAATATATTTTGTTTTATTTCATTTTTGCGGTGATATGGAATAGATGACTGTATGTTTTAAAGAAATTATGTTTACTGAATGTCGAAGTTTTACAGAAGGTAAGCCAACTACACACATAGATCTATGCTTTTGAGGTATTTCCAAAAGCATTTGTCTTTGAATGTTTTTTTTCTACGACAGTCTAATGACATCAACCATTTTTGATACATATTATAACAAAAGCTGGAATTTGCTAATTTGTGGGGATATACACAATGGGAAGACACTTGCTTTTACACCCAGGACTATATTGTCCTGCAAATCTGCAATAGAATTAGCTGCTCTTTGGGCCATCACAAATTAGCTTACATTTTGGCCATCACATGACAAGATAGGCTTTCGTACACACGTACACGACGCATACCAGCTCTACATGCTATGATTTTTACAGATTTTTTATTTGTACCCACATTATCATTCATCTATGAAAGCTGTGATGGGTGTATATAAAATGTGTTACCTCTCGACATTTAACACACTAATGTCTAATGTTTGGTATTGAATGGTTTTGTAGATGATGGTTAAAAAGAATAGTTATAGAGAATAGTTAAGAAGAGTAGTTATAGATACTGGTGACGAAGAATAGTTATAGATAATGGTTTAGAAGAATATTTATAGTTGATAGTTTACAAAAAATAGTTATAGATGATGGTTTAGAAGAATGGTTATAGATAATGGTTACGAAGAATAGTTATATTTAATGGTTTAAACGAATAGTTATAGTTAATGGTTTACACGAATAGATATGGTTAATGGTTTACATGAATAGTTATATTTAATGGTTTAGAAGAATGGTTATTGTTAATGGTTAAGAAGAATAGTTATAGATGATGGTTTAGAAGAATAGTTATAGTTAACGGTTAAGAGGAATAATTATAAACAACGATTCAAAAGGATTAATGTATGTAATGGTTAAGTTAGATGGTAAGCGAGTTTTGTTTTAGACTAATGAAGCGTTTTGTTTCTTGTTTGCAGGTTAAAGTGGAACAGAAGATGAAAATTACATTTCATATTATACTGACTTTATCTGATACAAAACACAAACATACATTCTATACGTAGCTACCCCTAAACAATGGCGGAGCCCCCTCCTCTTGGCTTCGCCCCTGTCTCTTAAATATATGTAATGGTTCTCAAATGCTAGATGGTTATTACCAGACTGTTTTATTGTCATTTTGAGATATTTCTTATTATTTTATATTGAAAGGCCTTGACCAACTATCAGATTCGGGTCTTGTAAATTTGTTGTGATTTTTGTCTTTTGGAAGATTATGGTGAATAAGATGTTTGTTAAGATTTCCTTGTATTTTCTAATGAGTTCTTTTGTAACTAGCTGCTTTCAACTAAAACCTTATTTCTATTCCAAGAGTACTGCAATTTTAAGTAAGATTTATTGGCGTTTGATTGTGAAGTATTGTAAACCGTGTAATTTGCCATGCATAGACTAATGGTGAATGCGATTTTTGGTTAGATTTCCGTGTATTTTCTAATGAATTCTTTTGTGACTTGCTGCTTTAGACTAAAACCTTATTTCTATTCCAAGAGTGCTACAATTTAAGTAAGATTCATTGGCGTTTGATTGTGAAGTATTGTAAACCGTTCCATTTGTCATGCATAGACTTGTTCGCACGTTTGTTATGTCCATACAACTGTGAAATATCTTGGTATGGTATATCAAACAGTCAATCTAAATGTACAATATTGTATTACTCTGTGGTATACCCTGAGATGTCTGGTAGATGTCCTTTGGCTTACATGTTAGTTGTTTAAAGAGTTTTAAAGACTCCCATTTTGAATCGAGAAAACTATTCTCAAGGAAATATCCCACATTTTTAATTGATTGACAATTGAACATATTCTAATATGTGTAAATATTTGCGCATTTCAATATCAGATATTGCTATCAAGTATTTCTATGCTCCTCTATAAACGAATGGAAACATTCAAAATACCAAGTCTACCTAGAAGAGACGTTTGATACATCAACAAGTAACTAATTTTTTTCCTGGCAGGCTAAATAGTTATTGAAACTGCAATATTCAATATCACTTTCATATACATTACCACATCAGTTGTAGGCAATCAACCCCCATATCTAAACTAAAAACTAACTGTCCTGGTGAGGATAGTGTATCGGAAAATCATGCCAACAGCATAAGACTAGTTCGGATATGAGTCAATTATGCGAAGTTCATACTGCACAAAAAACTAATGTTTGACGTTATCATTATTTGTATTTGTCATAAAAGCTACTAATGATCACATTTAATTTATTTTGCAGCGAATTCTAATTTTTTCATTCTATGAATCCTGTCTGAAATCTCAATATTTGAGTCGGTTTAATATATGTGTCTGTATGAATTATACATCTGGTTATTAACAACCTTATTTACTACAGCATGTCAAAATGTTATACATTGTAATAACCCTGTTTCGTTTAAAGAGACAATAATTTAAATGGGTATATTAAAAATCACGAGAATCGAGCTTATCAGATTTACAATTCCAAAACTCCCATTTGAAAATATTGACATTATCAATATTAAATATTAATTCATAGAAACATTAATAGATATTAATAACTAACCAATAGATAGATAGATACTAAAATAACTCAACCAAAAAGAGAAAAAAAAAACACGGCCTCAAGTAGCCCTTTAAATCAAACAATTTTATGGTCTTAATATTTAAATAAACATTAACTATGAAAACTGATATTATTTATCCATTTTACAGGGCGCTAAACAAATCAATGTAAAATTTTATCAGCTGATGGGGCCGCGTGACATAATTCAATGTATTGTCTATGGAAATAAATCCATGTTCTGACCTAATTTGGACTTAAAAAAAAAAAAAAAAAAAAAAAAAAAAAAATTATTTTCTGATCTATGGCAGATATTTGAGTTCTGTTTTTTCTGACATGTCCAGATAGTCCAACTGAATATTGGTGCAAAATTTCAGCATGGTAGCTTTGTAAGTTTTCACGCAAAAAATTTATTTGTCATTGAGCACTTCTTGTGCACCAATATGCAGACTGCATATAGCTAGTTTGAAAACTTACAGATTTTGATTTGATTTCTTGTGTTTTTTGAAGTCCTTGGGGTCTAATTAGTAGGAAAAGATCAAAACTTGAGCCAAAAGTTTGTATTTGAAAAAGTTGTCCATAGGCCATATTTGCCTCTATGGCCAATATGCATTCAAAATGTAAAAAATTATTTTCTGATCTATGGCAGATATTTGAGTTCTGTTTTTTCTGACATGTCCAGATAGTCCAACTGCATATTGGTGCAAAATTTCAGCCTGGTAGCTTTGTAAGTTTTCACGCAAAAAATTTATTTGTCATTGAGCACTTCTTGTGCACCAATATGCAGACTGCATATAGCTAGTTGAAAACTTACAGATTTGAT